AGCAGCTTGCTGGGGCTGGGGCTGTGGCGGGCTTGGAGAGGAGCCGTGCAGCTTGTGCTCGGGGCCTGTCACAACCCAGTAAATGAGATGGAGGGTGTCGGATCCTGCGTTGGGGAGGAGTTTGCAGTGTGGAGCCCACCCCCTCTTACCTTCCGGCAGCGGCTCTGCTCCCAAGGGCTGGGCTGAGCTCCCGGTAGTGGGCCATTGCTGTGTTATGTTCAGGGTTTGGCCCAGCCGCTGGGGCGACTGGCTTTGTGCTCGGGGCCTGTCACAACCCAGTAAATGAGATGGAGGGTGTCGGATCCTGCGTTGGGGAGGAGTTTGCAGTGTGGAGCCCACCCCCTCTTACCTTCCGGCAGCGGCTCTGCTCCCAAGGGCTGGGCTGAGCTCCCGGTAGTGGGCCATTGCTGTGTTATGTTCAGGGTTTGGCCCAGCCGCTGGGGCGACTGGCTGGGCCCAATGTGCACCACTGGTGTTGGGCCTGGAGATTTGCCCTTCACAGAGATTTGGCCCCACTTGCCTGCCTCTCTTCATGGAGGGGCCAAACCTGAGCGCTGCTGGGGCCTGGTGCCCCACGTGACAACACCGCGAGCAGGGAGCTGAGTCCTGTTGGCCCCGGGGACTGGAGCTGCACCTGGCCCCTTTGACACATTCTGCTTTCACCAGTGCAGATGATCACACTGTTTGCCTCTGCCCTTCACAGCTCTGGATGGGGGGGGGCTCTCCAGGAGCTGTAGGTGTTTGGAGCCGGGTTAACAAGGGGAGCCCACCCAGCTGGTTTAGAACGTTCATCCTGTCACTGTTCTAAAAGTCTAGAAAACACGGAGCAGCTGTTGCCCACGCGGCAGCCACAGACCCCGGCGCCAGGATGGTGAGACGTGCTCCAGACCAAGCATGAGTTGCACCTGCTGCCCAGGAGGCTAGTGGCCAGCCCCTGGCAAGGAGAGCCAGGAACAAGCAGAAGTGCCGCATCCCCCTGTGCCCGGCCAAGCACGGAGTCACCAGCTGCCAAAGACCTCAGGCATGTTCATGTTGGTCGTCTGGGGGAAGGGACGGCCAGCATTCGGCTGCAGGCAGCAGCGTCTATTTTCTGTAGCATGTCGGTGATGCGAAGGGCCGTGGTGGGTGTCATGGACAATGTGCGTGTTTGAAATGGAAAGAAGCCACCCTTTGGGATGGGGTGGCTGAGGTGAGTACTAACCTTACCCTTGCAGCCAGCAAAGAGCACGGGACTTTGTACCAAAGCAGCCAAGACAAACCCAGCTTCAACCGCTGGTGTCTGAGCCGCTGTCAAGGGCTGGGCTCTGCTCTGCATCTCTAGTACTTTGAAACATCCAGGTGGGAAGTGGTCAGCGAGGAATCCTGCTGGCCTGTGTTACGGAGTCGAAGCCCTCGCCTGCATGTGTAGCAGGTACATGGCCCGCCTGGCTCGTAAGCCAACTGAAATGTGACAGCCTTCAGGCCCTGAGGGGGTGAACCCACAGCTGCAGCACACCTCCGGCAGCTGTAAGACTGGATTAGGACATACCTGGTGTGAATGGGGCACCAATGGAGGCCCTTGCTTTAAAAAATAGCCTTGGAAAATTGTTCTAACTGACCTACTCTGGTGCTGTTCTAGCTCTCAGCTGGCTCTGCCGGAAGAGGTAGCACCCCTCAACCTTGCTCCGGAGGGCTGGCAGGAGAAACAGTTCACTGCAATTACTGCCCTGCCCTTGAAGTTCTGACTCATAGTGATACAAATGTGCATTGCTCTAAACAGAGCACCAGAAACCTTTTTCTGCCCCTGCCGGGAAGAGCAGCTTGAGAATTCTGGTCTTGTGCCGTCGTTGGGAAGACTTTTCTAAATCCACCGGTGGCAGGGCGCTGCTTGCTCCTTCAGGTGGAGAGGAACGGTCTCTTCTCACACGGTGCCTCTGCCAGCTGCACTTTACTATGGCGTGGCCGTGAGCCATGGGCCCTGTGCTTTCAGGTGCACAATGTTGCTAAGGAACTGGCCTTAGCTGCCGGCTGGTTTGAGTAAATAAAATGTTCCTCTTGCGGGCCCTTGCTACAGCCTGTGTTGTCTTTTGCACAAACCCTCCCCGCCAGCCGCTGGCAGGGGGCACTGGCCCCCAGCCGCTGGCTGGGGGAACTGGCTACTAGGAGTCTTCTGCTGGCCAGTCTTATTCATGGGAACGAGCTTGTGTTTGAGCCCTGCGGTGTCACTCAGCAGCTGGGGCAAAGGGATGTTTGTTTTGTGTGGAAGGATGGGGGCAAATACCCCCCCTCCCCCCGGCAGCCCTCCCTGGTCCCCCAGCTCCCTCCTGCAATGGCCCGAGGGCTGTAACCTTCCCTAGTGACGGACCACGTGGATGTTCTCGTTGCAGAACAAGAGGCCAAGGCGCAGGGTTAAGGCAAATCTTTGTATTGCATACACTGGACTGGTGCTAGTTTCATAAACGCATCACGTCTTTACCCACAATGACCAGCATCTCTCAGGGAGAGCTCAGGCTACAACTGCAACTTATACAAATAACGGGACGAGGCGGCCAGAGCTCCCGGGAAGGCTGGGTTTGGTTCAGCCATTGCCTGCAATGGCCATCCCCACTGTTAAACAGAAAAGGGCCGAAGCAGAATGTAAGTGACCTGGATTCCCTGCAGCAGCTGTACATGGTACCTGCCCCCCGGGAGTGAGGGGGCTTGAAACCAGACTTATGGTGCCTGCCTCAGCCTCAGCCTGTACACAGGTGGAGCGGCCCTGATAAACAGGTGGCAAAACAGAAGGGGTAGCTCCATGCACTCCTCCAATCTGACAGGTGCCTGTGTTTAGTGACGCTTGAGGCCCACAGCTGAGCTTTTACATGAGAGTTCACTCACTTTGCTACTTAAGAGCCCAACGAGCCAGGGCAGCGGAAGAGAGTTGACTCTAACACTTCATTGGCCAAATAACCAGCTGCTGGAGCCAGCTTGTCAGGTAGAACTGCATGGCAGGAAGGGGGCAATACGGTACAGATTAGCACCCTTCCCCTTCCACTGCCCTGACCCTAGCCACGTAATAGGAACATGCCCATGTTCAACTGAACAGTTTTCAGCTCACTGCTTGTCTGTGGCACCCCGGGAACGCTAATTCATGGTGCAGCAGATTAGAAGGAGACCGGTGTGGCCCTTCAGTTACCTCCCCAAATGGAGAGAAGCTTTTCACCAATACATGGACGGGGGGATCCGACTACAAGCCTTCCCCTTTTTCTTTACAGCATGACTTCCCCATTCACTGCCACTGAACTGTTGGCAGCTGCTGCTTAGAATAATGATTTCAGAAGCTGCCAATAACCAGAACATTCTTTCCCACCAAGCTTGATAAAGTTCAGGCGTTGTTGGAGTGAGAAGCAGGGACCGTGGGGAGGCTGGTGAGCATGTGCCGAGCTGACCCAGCAAAGTGAGCACAGAGGACACAGTTATCGTACCATGTTCCTGGCAAGCGCCAGCCTCACAGTGGGGAAGAAAACATCCCAGCAGCCCGAGGCAGAGGAACCTTAGTGCAGGTGCTTCCCATTAGCTCCTGGAGGCAGGGTGCACTTAGAAGTGGGCAGGAATCATTGGCCATTGTGCAGCAATTTGAGATGGCAAATTTCCCATCCCTGCATGGGGACAAAGTCAACATCGTGACAATTTTCACACATTGAAAATCCCCCCCCTTCAGAAACGGCTCAGTGCGCTATAGCTGAAATGTTTTGATTTCAACCACTGTTAAACTACAACCAGCTTAATACGACAATTATGGGGAAAAAAAACAATTTTTCATCACTATTTTTGAGTCCTCTTTTCTCAACTGACCCTTTCCCACAGCAGGGTCTGGTTTTGAGAAATCATTTTCCCCACGCAAAACACAATTTGTGGAAAAATTTCTAACCAGCTGGAGTTCCCTGTTTGAGCTCCACTAGCACCTCCCCAGCCTTTCTACTTGTCACTGCTACTCCAGCTGCTGTACACACGTTCCTGCTGCAGCAGAGAATGGATCCAGGCACTTACTTGGGCGAGCGAATGAGGTGAAGAAAACTGGCTCCAGCAGAAAGCTCGGCTCGTCTTTGAAGTAGGTCGAAAGGGATGTAGTTAAATGACAGTTGGTCCATCAGTTATTAAATTAGCACCATATATAGATATTTATAGAGAAAATACTTTTGTAAACATTAGTTTCTTCGTTCCGAGGGTGGTGTAGTCCAGGGCATAATGCATCTATAAACATAAATAGGAAGGGTAGCTTTCAAAAGGCAGCCGGCGGTGCAGCACCAGGACGGGGGTTTTAATTCCTGTTGCTGCAGTCACATGGTCCCACAAGGCAAGTGGGGTTTTGGGTCTGGTTTCAGCTGAAGCAAACGGGTCCAATAGTGAATCCAAATTGGTGAGAGGCGTCTCCGTTGTGAAACACAGCCAGGTCGCGCAGGGGCAGGAGCGCCAGCTCCTCGGTGTCAAACCGGAATATGGTGTCAGAGATTGACGACTCGTTATCCAGCTGTAACACACAATGAGCTACAGTGTGACCTTGCCACAGCCGCAGAGCCCTGTGCCCCGAGGTAACATGTAGCTATCAGGGTAGGATGCTAGGAAAGACCCCTGCAGTGGTACTGAGGTGTGTTAGCAGGCAACGGTAAATCGTAGCTTCCTCGCTTGTGCTCACACCTGTGTTCTGAACTGGAGACCAGCCACAAACCTGCTGTAGCTAGTTATGAAGTAAGAACACACCCGTTTCCCTCAGTGCTTTGGGGCAGGCCTGTTCTTTTCACTTGTAGGTCCAACACCTAGCACAAGGCACCGAGCGCAGGGACTCCAGGGGCTACTGAAAATGCAGCTCAGGTGCCAGAGGGGAGCTCCGCAGGGTTTGGTGCGGGTGCAATTATTGCTCCGTGCTGCTGCTTTTCTAGCTACGTGTGCTAACGTTGGGCGCTTGCAATGCCTGCAATTAACTCCGGGCTAAGGGTCAGTGTCAAATGTGGCTCCCTGCGCCTGGGCCTTGAGCTAAACGGCCTGATATGCGGAACGTGGGCGGCCGGGTCTCCCCTACACCGAGCCACTTGGATGTAAAAATCCTGTTTGTTTATTTACCGGTTAAACGGTCAGTTTAACCGGTTACCTGCTTAACAGGGAGTGGGCAGGGGAGCTAAGGATGCTGTTTCAAACCACTGGCACAGACTCCCCACTCACCATGCAGCCCTGCAGGGTGGTCATGTAGCTCTGCGCCCTGGAGTCTGCGAGGAATTTGATGGCTTTCTCCAGCTGCAGCTCCCCTCCGTCGGCCTCAGGCCTGCAGGAGTATGACACCTTCTGGGTGGCCAGGCTGCTGTGCAGCTTCAGGAACCGGAGCTGGACGGTGCCGGTGCCTTGGTATTCCAGCTGCAGCAACAAGAGGGGTAAGGGTGCTCAGCGGTGGGCACCCACAGCACCACCTCAGAGCCTAGCCTGAGGGCAGGGCCGGCACCGTTCAGGGCGGGAGGGAGTTGGGCTCAGCCACGGCCCGTCTTGAACCCACCCTGCAGCCCACGGACGGGGAAGGAAGCCGCCCAAAGAGAGGGTACAAGTGTACGGGGAGGAGGCTGAGGTGTCACAGGCCTGACGGATTGATTTGGGCACAAGCTCTGGTGGGCCAAACCCCACGTCAGAGGCAGCGGAGAAGTGCGCTGAGGGTATGCACACCGGCGCCTGCTCCCCCTCACGGGCACAGACGGGCGGTGGGCCAGAAGGCACCATGGTGCTCACCTTGCGTACCCCGCTGCCCGAGCACCTCCCTGAATGAATTCCTGTTTCGAGTGGAGCTTGGTCCAAGGATTACCCAGCGCTCCCTTGGCCCCCACCCAGCCATTCCCACAGAATGTGCTGCGCACAGGGAAAGACGGTTCTAGTTCCTGTATTAACACCCAGCCTGCTGAGGGCCCTGGTACCGAGCCGTGCCTCAGCACTGCCACACCCAGGAGGTGGGCCCCCCCTGCCACGCCTGCACGGAACTGACCAGGAAGCCCCCGGGCAGGGTGCTGAACCACTCAAAGGTCCCCTCGGCCGCGTATGCTCTCAGCCAGGCTTTGATAGGCACCTGGGGGGAAACGTTGCCCGTTAGACACCCTGCATGCGGCTGAGGCGCTGCCAGCCTGTCGTGACTGGTACTAGGGCCCCCGAAGTCAAACAGGCTGGTTTCTGCTCAGCCCAGGCCTCTGCCACGCAAGGAATCGTGGAGGAATCATTGGGTTTTACAAAGCCTCCGCCTCTTCCCACCCAGCTCTGCCCAGAGGGGCGAAGGGAAACAGCCACTCTGCCTTGATCACAAGGCCCCGGCGCTGTCAGCACAAGCCCTGCGCTAGAACAGCCACACCAGACCCCGAGCCAGTTACGTGGGGCTGATCGCTGGGGCTAATGTACCTCCTGGCTCATTCTCCTTTCCCTCCTTCCCTGCCCCATATCCTCTTAGTCACGCCCTCCCCGCTTCCTGCATCACGACCCTGGCTTCCATTCCCTTCCACAGCACGTGCCAAGGCCTCATCCACACCTGCTCTGCTGCCACAAGAGCATTGCTGAGACGCCGATTTTGTGCTTGTCCCACTGCCTGAGAAAAGTGGCCAGACCCCCCCGTACCTGATTGCGTACTGGCGCGATGCAGGTCTCTCCCCCTGCGGTGAAGTTGCAGAACGCCAGCAGAGAGTCCTGCGGGCTGCCTTGATTGGGGTCTACGTAATAGTAACCTGGAAGGGGGAAGGGCAAGCGCGTGCTGGTATCGGGGAAGCGAGGTGGCTGCTGTAGCTCGTTTTACAAGGGGTTCCTTAATGGTTGCCCCTGTGACTAGGGCATCAGCCCTAGAGCCCCAGGCTGGCGCCGTGCTTTGCTGCGTTCCCACCCCAGCCCCTCGGCCTGTTTGGTGCTGAATTCCCAGCCATGCCCCACTCCTCTGGATGCCCGTCCCCTCACCAACCCGCCCCTGGGGACGAATACACCCCAGCCAGGCTGCTCACCCCGCAGCCAGAAATACCCTGCGCCCCACCACGTACCCCGCTGGGTCTTTCGCTCAAGGTGGCGCCGCTCCAGCTTCGCGGTCTGTTTTCAGTTACGCCCCAAGGCCGGGTAGGCCTGGCACAGGCCTCGCACTGCTGCCCACCGCAGCCCTCGTGATGGGCTTTAGCCCAGAGGAAGCGTGCAAGCAGCTGGTGAGTGTGTTACACACACACCTCGCCCCGGGCCTGATCCAAACCATGCGAGTGTGTTATGGCCTGCAGAAGCTCAGGCTTTCAGCTCTGGAGGGCCCCAGCCCAGTTCCCACTGGGCCAGCCAAGATGCAGGAAATCAACATCCCGCCCCGACATCTGCCCGGATCTAAATTCCTCTGAGCTAAGCCAAGGAGCGACGCCCACTGGCCCCATGCCCCTCCCCCAGGCAGGACTAAGGCGTGTGCCTCAAGTCAACGGCTCTGCACCGCTTGGTCTCAGCTCCACAGCCGCTACCCACTACAGCACGGTGGGGAACCTGCGGCCCCTGGCTTGCCTGGATCCAGCCCCCAAGGTTCAGGGCTCTCCCCAGCATTAGGCAGCCCGTGCTGGTGCTCCGGCTCCCCTTCTGCGCCCCCATCCCTGCGGGGCTGCAGCACAGAGAAGCTACCCCCCCCCCCCCCCCCAAGGCTCTGGTGTGCGAAGGGAACGTGGAGAGCGTCTTTCTGCTTCCTCGGCGGGGGGTCTCAGTGGCCCCTGACCCAGAAAAGGCTCCACACTCCTGCACCACAGGCTGAACCTCTAAAAACCAGACCACGGATGCTCCTGGACCAGAGAGCTCTGGTGGCCGGGAGTCAGGTGGCAAGAGGGCCTGTGACCGGGAGCCCTGCCGGGGAGGTGGCAGCTGGGGCTGGGCGTGGAGCCAGTCTGGGGAGCTGGAATTGACCTTCCCGAGGGTGCTGGACCGAGGAGGTCCATGCTGAGGTGATCTTTCCTGAATGGAGCTACCAGGCAGAGTTCATAGGGGCCTGAAGGAGCCCGTTCCACCCGTGACCCCATCACACCGGCACCCTGCTCTCCCCAGAGGCCGGTGCAGTTTGGTTGGTACCATCAGGCAGGTCAGGCTGAGCCAGGAGGAGCTCCTTGCAGGTGGCGGCTGGGTGGTCTTTGGTGCCATTTGGGGGGTCTACCAGGCTCCTCAGCTCATGGCCCAAGTTGTCCAGAAGAGCCCACACCGTGCTGTAGTCCAGCTTGTTTGTGGAATAAATCAGATGCTAAAAGGGGTGGAAGACAGACAGAACGTCACTTGTATCTGTCACCCGTCCCCAGGCCAGCAGGACCCCAAGCGCAGCCAGTGTCTGTCTCTGTGCAGCACCGTGCACAATGGGCCCTGCCCTCCGCTGGGGTCTCCGTAACGCTGGAATACGGAGAAGGGGGGAAGCTGCATGGCTAAGTCAAAACCTGCCCCCGGGGCTTTGGGATCTAACGCTGCAGCAGCGGTTGGTTCCTGCCCAAAGAGGAGCCAAGTTACTCTCCTGTGCTGGGCTGCAAACGAAAGCAGCGGAGAGCAGGGACGCGATTTGAGGCCGGCAGTGAAGACTCAGGGAGCTGCAGACTCCTCAAATCTCCCACTTCTTCCTCTGTGCAGATTAAGCCACCGTATGTGACGTTCCAGCAAGTCTGTGCAAGCTTTGTGCGAGTTACACCAGACTAGCTGGAGCTTTGGGGAGGGGTCACCCTATGCTTCTACTGGAAATACAGTTTTTAGGATGATGTAATTTGCCAGATCTCAGTCCAAAAAGCCTGGAAATATATCTTTGCTGCTGCTCCTAACCTGCCAGTCAGAGCAACAGACAATATAAGAATTCTGTCCCACTTCTCCTGATGGGGTAGTGTGATTAGCGCCAAGTGCAGAAGAAGAGCATTGATGTGGCAGTAAAAATGACAAGATAGAGGTCCACAATGCAAGAGATTCAAGTCCTTGTAATACACAACAGAATCTGTACATTCAAACTGAAAGTTAAGATAACCAGCATTTTTTTCTGAATGGTATCAAAAACATCCCTATATATTTCTATTTATTTCCCGCTGAGCAGTCCTGATTTTTGGGAGTCTCTGAAGAAGTGGATTGTGCCCACAAAAGATCATGATACCATCTACATGTTTTGTTAGTCTCTAAGGGGCCGCTAGGCTGCTCCTTGTTTTTTAAGTTTTTCCAGTTACTAACCTGGCTCCCCCTCGGAAACATTTGGCTATGGAACTCAGCTTAACTCACCGGCAGGCCTGGCGCGCCTTTGGGTCCCGGCTGGCCCTGGAAGCCTTTCGGTCCCTAAGATGAGAAAGAACACGGGGAAAAGAATGAACGATCAGCGAGACGTTCTGTGGCTGGAGACTCCCAGACTGTCCCCCGGATTCTTTACGTCCATGCGTGGGATGGCT